AATATCCATTGTGGTGCCACCTTCCGGACCCGTTTTGTTATTAAAATTAATGTTAATATCAATTAATGCACCTAGAGCTGCGTTCGAAAGTTTTTCTTTTTGAATCGTTTGCTCTCTAATGTTAAAAGGTCAGATTTAAAATAAAGACTTAATTTATTAGATTGCGTTGAAAAGTGGTTCATTGTATGGTAACGATTACCTCTAATTTTACTATAACCACTGTTATACACCGACGAAACGCATGCATAATTTTTGTATAGTTCATTGTCTAATTAACATTACAATAACCTGTCATGGACACCTTGCTTCTAAATGATGTTTTGCCGAGCACGAAATGGGACTGTGTTACCTATTGACGCAAAAAACATTCTGCGAGGTATGTTTTCATTTCAAAATAACTGTTGCGCCTTCTATATGTTTTAAGAAAATATGACTTGTCACAAAAAGTCAATGCATTGCCTAAGAATAGGAACGTGTGTGAGTATTTGTGTTTGGTATTAATTTAAAAGCTCTGATGGATGTCTATTCCGCCATTTCTTGACACTAACAACTAACTTCTGTGTTTTTTTTAATTCACCCAGCATTCTGATATGGTTTCAGAAAATATTAGTTCAGGTCAAATAAATCTATTAAAAAAAAATTGAAAAATATTGCTTTTTTATGAACACTTCGCGTTAGTCGATCCAGCAAGCAAAATGAACATGTTAAAATGTTTCAATTTGTTATTTCTTAATGTACAATCTTTTACAGGTTGAAACATGCTTGATAGCAACAAGTCTATCGGCGGAGCATGCATCATATAGTTGCACTACAGCCTGTAGTTGTAGTACTAAGTTGAAAAATCCCTGACAATAATGGGCCAACAAGTGCAATAAGGATTTTTCTAGAAAAAGTGATGTCGGAAGGAGAAAATTATAATGCCGTCGACCATGACTTTGAATAAGTTGATGCGTTATCCAATGATGACGTTGCCCTGCAGTGATACAACATATAGAATATAAGTGATAATGATAATGAATATAATAATAATAATATAATATTATAATACAATATAATAATAATTGATGTTTGAATATAATTTATGATAATAAATCAGTATTGCAGCATTTTAGAATGAGATTTTTTTGATGGACTCATGAGACCCGATACGTATCCAAGAGATAATGGAAAAATGTTTTGTTCTACTCCCGTCTGTAAAATGCCTTATTACACACCGATCTAGAGTGCGGAAAGCGTCACTTTACCACGTCAGTTTGGTTTCCCACGGATCCGAGCCACTTCGGACATTTCCGGCATTTTACCGCACGGATTTGGAATTGAATGTTTTCGGAGATATTACCCACGCCTTGAACGTGACGTTTGTCAATTCTGACGGACATGTCAGTGAATGTATTCGGGTTGTTTGCGAAAATTTACCCAAAAACTAATGGTTGAGTGAGTCAATGCTGTTTACCGCACTTGTTGCATAATATACTAATTCCTAGCGATACTCACATATTAAACTAAAATAAAATGCTAAAATACTTATATTCAAGTTATTCCATCAAAATTAAGAAAACTTCCCAGCAGCCGCAAAGTGATAATATAAGCTGACGAAAAATAGATTTGCAAGGATGAAAATTTAATTGTCGCATTCCTTTCATGTTTTTCTACTCCCGTCTGTAAAATACCTAATTACACACCGATCTAGCATGCGGGAAGCGTCACTTTACCACGTCAGTTTCGTTTCCCACGGACCCGAACCACTTCCGACGTTTCCGGGATTATACCGCACGGGTTTGGGTGCAATCGGATGTTTTCGGAGATATTTCCCACGCTTTGAATTTTGACGTTTGTCAATTCTGACGGTCATGTGCCAATGTACCCAAAAACTAACGGTGGTAGGAAAAGTACAGTATGCAACACGTTCGGTAAACTTTTAAAGTCACTCGTTTATTAAATACTCGCTCGGCTCTTGTCAAATAAACTCGTGAGTCAAATGCTATTTACCGCACTTGTTGCCTAATATACTATTAAGAGCACTTCTTACTCTCTAATAAAGACGAGCAGTACTGAGGCAATTGCAGAGAAATATGACATCATGTATTTAACCGAAACTCGGCCCAGTGAAGGATTACAATCAAGTAAACATTTCGACAACAGGGTCAGGTTAGACACATCAAGGATCTGAAAAACAAGAGGGACGATTGCTTGATTGGTACCTGATCGCTGTGAAATCAATAAACGAGAAATAAAAAAACAGACAGAATTATCTGAAATTTGGTCTAAAAAATACCTGTTCTGATTGAATTGAATCTCAATCCGACAAAAGTGAAAATTAAGAGAAGTTTATAGCGACCATTAAAGAAAATGTTAAAAAGTACAGGCCAATTAGCAAACTGTATTTTCCATGAAACAAAAGATAATGAAAATGAAAAAATGCAGGACCAGCATCGTCTTTTACTGCAGAGATCCTAACAAATAAAAATCTAAATTTTAAATATTTAAAAATCAATCTCTATCATCACTTCATATTTACAATTCATATTTTAATTTCATGCCTTTTTTTGTATGGCTTAGTATTCCAAACCATGAAACCAAAGCATCAAAAGTCCAAAAGATTACTCAACCCGTTAATGACAGGTTCTTTGTGTGAATATATTGGCATATGAATTATTGTTTATTTTTATTCATCATTTTATATTTTTGGGCCAATACGTTTAACTTTATTTAAATAATAATAGTTTTATTTATAAAAAAAATGGAAACTTGATATGTATAACTCTGTTAGGTTGCACTTTTCATATCATTTTTTTCAATAAAACACATCCTCCTTCCCTATTCTTTTTATTTACAGTATTTATGGTATTAATACTGATTTGTTTAATAAACCCCATAATTTGCGCAATTGTTGTTGAGTATTTTGATGAGAATTTTATTTTTTGGAATATTGTACGACAGATGTTTGTGCTAGTGCGGACTACGTAGTTCCCATTAATTTTAGTTTTCACTTAAATGAAGCAGCCCTACCAACATGAATGTTGAATTTGGAATGTATTGTTCAAAATACCATATAGTTAGTCCAAAAATAACCAAAAATCACGAAAATTATTATTTTTTTAATTTTCTTTCATTTAAAAATTAAGTAAATTGGTGGGAGGAGCTAACATGAAAATATTTAACCTGAAATATGTGATAGGCATAAGTATTATTTTATGAAATAAAAACTATCTATCTGATTTAAATTGGTAAGTTTTGTCGACTTCGTATTCCGGTAAAATGTATTTCTCTTTATTTAATGTAAACAGCCCATATACAGTATGTTTCCATATCTAAATTTAATATACGTTCGGAACACGTAACATATGTATAATATCCAAGGTAGTCACTTCGATCCAATCTCAAAGATACCGTGTAACCGTCTCAGCGGTTTGATAGATGGTGCTAAAGGAGATGCACACCTTAAAAGGCACACCCTGCATGTGATGCAGTTTCGTCACGATGCTTATACTTTCTTCGAAATATGACACTTGCTCCTCATGTTCATTGTGTACAAAAGTCAGTCAAGGCTGCGACAATGGCCAATTACTATTGTTAGGCTCGATTGTTGGTTACACGATGTGACATCGAAAACTTTTTGTAAGTGTGTTATATCTCGAAATCCGTAATTATTGGTATCGGTGAATGGAATTATACGTATCTGCTGTAGATCGTGATCCGATTTGCCTCTAAGAGCGCCCTTTACAATCCGAAAGTTAAAAAAGATAAACGAAATAGATTCGGTTGGTGTCAGTAAAACCCCAGCGTCTCCCCACTCCGATGCAAAACCTTGTAGGTCTCTCTAATCGGCAGAGTTGTTCATTTGTCTATTCCGACATAAGCGAACAATGTTAAACTGCAACGCGGAAAAAGGAGGCACACCTTTCCGAAGCTCCGCGATTTACATATGCCCTATTAGGATAAAATCCCTGTTAAATAACCAGAACAGTACACCATTGTTAGGTGTATTTTTCGATCTGCATACGAAGTTCATTTACAAGAATGACTCTAGAGTTATTGTAGTTGATTTTTCAATAGACCATATTCGATATGCCTCACACGGAGATAGCAGTAATTTCATACAGTTTTCACGGTCTTTCTAGACAATATCCGATTGTATTTCAATTACACAGTTTTTTGTCTCTTCTCTTTTGTGGCAGGTATTTGTATACAACAACCTGCCTACGACTTAGTTTCTATTACCCACGGAATATACATGAATTAAACGAGATGACTCATCGTCGTTAATTAGTGGACGGTTTATTGTCTAACGTTTTATACATTTGCAATCGTAATGCTGGCTTTATTTAAAGATTAATAATTTCAATAAACCTGGCTGGGAATTTCTATTAGCGGGTTTGTGTCAATCTGCTTGATTTTAATCGTACGTGAGTTATTTAAATGCCATATGTTATGCACAAGAATTTTTTTAGTCGCCTTTTAACTTACATTAATATAAAAAGAAAGAGTTTTTTTATTTTTGTGCATTGTTGGGGTCACACTTGTCTTAATTCCTCTAAACATTCAAATTGTTCATAAAGGTAATTTTACGCCAACTTTAGAGCAGGTAAGGGTTAGTGCATGTTAGGTTGGTGTGACAAAGGGTTTTCTTGTAAAGGATTTTTTTTCGTAAATTCTGACATGCGATAATATGCTTAACGGAATATGCGTTTTGTATTGGGTCACTTTTTTTAATTAAAATTTTCCCATACAATGACATGATTTAAAAAATAAATAAATAAAAAAAAATAAATTCATGATTTAATGCCTTGTAGTACTTTTTCCTCATTTTGAAAATAATTAAAAATTCCCTGTCATCTTCAGGTTTTCCAGCATTTTCCTATCTAAAATATTCTTTTTAAATTTGTGATGACCAAATACTAGGAATACTCAATTAAACGACTATAAGTATAATTATTAACGATTTTTATTAAATAATTATATAAATTCTGTATATGCTTAAAGAATCTAAGTAAGGCACTATACAATGGCATAAGGATAACATAATAGAAGTCAACCAGACTTCGTTTGACTAGATAGTAATGCGAACGATTTCCACAATTTATGAAAAGTTCACATGGCTTAGGCGAGTACAAACAATTTTCGAGAAACACTTTTTTGTACATACATATAAATGTTACATATGTAAAATTTTGCTTATAACTAACTGTACATTTATATCAATAGATTTGTACAAATTTCGGCAATTCAGTCTTTACAAAGGCACTATATCCGACAAAATAAATAATGAGTAGCAAAAAAGGAACCGAATACGAGGAATGTTCTGAGATGTGCGTGCGCGCGGAACAACGTAAAAAACTTAAGTTTAAAAGACAAAACTAAAAATCTAGTACATTTTGTCGTTATGTAATAACGTAGGACTCGAACCGGTACAACCGCCTTCCGTGTGTTTCGTCAAAAGAGACATCCTCGAGAAGGTCTTGCTGCATGACGTACAAGAATATTTCTTAACGTCCGAATGGGTCTGTAGATGAGCGCGGAGATTCGACCTGTCGGCGAATGCCCTGTTGCAATACGTGCACGAAAAGGGTTTCTCACCTGTGTGGGTGCGGATATGGCCTTGGAGGAGCCACGGCCTCGAAAATGCTTTGCCGCAGATGGTACATTTGCAAGGCAAAGTGTGCGTTCTTATGTGCATTTTCAGGGCGCCCAACGAGACGTATACCTTTTCGCAGTATTTACAACTGAAGGACTTTTTCGGACCGTCGCCCGCCGCGCAGTGAAACTGCCGATGTTTCGACAATCCGGCGAAAGTGGAGTAACTCTTGCCGCAATCCGGACACTGGTGTCTCACACCCTGGCGTCGTTTTTCGGAGAGATCTTCTGCCGGCACCGAGACAGGAGGTGGTGAATTTGTGGAGCTGTTGGGACTCAGAGAACTCTGGTCCATTGACGAATAAACCGTCGGCCTAAACGCTAACGGTTGCAAAGGCTGTTGAACGTGATGCGAATGATGCGGGGGTGAAAGGGAACTGTCACTGTATGGAGACGTAGGTGCCATGTATAAATTCTCATGGGGGTAGTGAGTATACGGCATATAATGGTAGGCCGTCGGATGATAAATAGGCGCCACACTTCTATGCCAAGTTTGAGGCGCGTACTCCGGGCTTATTGGAGTTGGGTAAGGCAGGCGAGATTCAACCTTGATCGGTTGAGTCGGATAAAAAACAGTCGGTGAGGGTGAAGATATCGGCGGCGAAGACGGGGGTGAAGCAATGGATATCGATGAAACCGGCGACAGAGGTGCCGGTGACGAATTCGGGGATGACGGCGGTGAGACCGAAGCCAATCGTCCTGCCCGGCTCAAGTCCTCAGGTTTCGTCGATAAATTTTCGGGCTCCTCGGGGATTTCGTCTTCTTTGAAAATAATCGGCCGCTTTTTCAACGGACAATGCGAATAGTTCTTGGCCATTATTGTAATAGGCATAATTCACTTCACTTAAAGTATTAAACACTTAATCCAAAATAAATGCGTAAAGTCCGTAAAACAACACAAAACGCACGACAAATTCGTAAAACTGCGAACGGCTCGTTTGGCTCAATCTCTTAACATATCTAACACAACGAACGAGTTCTCGTCCAACTCTGAATCAGGAAACACCGACTACCTAGTTATTAAGTGTGTCCCCACTCCCGAAGTATCCACGTGCCTATCGACCAATGAAAATATTCGAGCGCGGCGAGATCCAATAGAGCAGCTTAAACGTGTAGTAGGGGCAAGGCAGGTGTGCTTCTGTTCGGAGTCTGGTAAAAACGGTATTGTTAAACTGTTAGGTGGCTTATTCTTGGCGGTGGATGCCTAGCTCGCTCGATCGGTGGCTTTTTTTTTATACGTATCGATTGTATCGCAAATGCCCTGCACCAGATTTCACAACGATGTTGCGTAATGTGGTTGGCGCAACTCTACGCCGGGTCGCCAGTTTTTGTCCTGCTTAAAGGAGACTTTAATGATAAAATAGGATAGTAAACTCTTTAACCGGCCGCTTGCAAAATCTCGTTCCGCGCAATTAAGGAGTTTTTTTTTTGATAACGTATCTAACTTATATTAATACGTTGCCGTTGACTAGCTTTTGTCCATGCTTTGTGTCCGCTGTCCGGCGTAGAAAGTGACTTTATTTATGTGTTAACGTGCTGACAGTATGTATACAATAACCACTGCCAGACAAGCGTATACCTTTATTAGCCTATCCTATTTTGATGTTGTATATTTGGTGCGCTTAAAAACGTTTTGTTCCAAGATGACGACATATCAACTTCTATTTTCTTAGTTTGATTATTAATATAGCAGATATCTGCACACAATAAGAACTTAACAATAAAGTATTATTTTTTGGAATATTTCAAATCCATCATACAGCAAACTTGATAAATAATTGCGATAATTATATCGCGCATTCAGAAGAACGGTAATAGTAATCTACAATGAAAATCGTTAATAAACAATGATATGAAGATTGATATACCATTCCACCAAATTAAAAGGTAAAAGTATAGGTAAAGTCTATTCATAGATATAAGAAAGTGACTAACTGGTACGAATTAAGGAAAAACCCGGGCAAGCTGTAGGAATGAAATATGGCCGAACAGGAAAGATACTAAACAATATTTATTTATTTATGTAAGGATTTATGTTTAAATCGAAAATAAAATTACAAATTATTTTTATTACCTACTTAATTTATTTAAAATTATTCACATACTATATCAGTATCACTATCGCTATCATCGCCTGTTCTAATTATTATTTGTTCTATATTATTTGCAATATGGATATACCACTGGTCTGCTTTTTCTATATGTTTAACAGAAGTTAAAAACTTCGGTTTCTATAAGTTTGAGGACATTGGAGTTAATACGGGGAGAAACATTGTTACGACGAATGGCAGATTTCAGTTGGTGCCAAACATATTCAATGGAATTAAATATACAGTGGTAAGATGGAAGCCTTAAAACTGTATGCCCTAGATTTTTTGCACAATTATCACAGACGTATTCCTTTTGTATGTTCAAGCTTTATAGAACCTCAATTAATTGCTTTTTCGTATAATCTTCGTGAAAATAAATGTCGTTATTATACATGTAGTTTTGGATTGTTGCTTTTGTGTCACATGAGGAAGGGGTTTTAGTCAACTGTCTACTGTGATAACTTTCATTGTCCATTACAATGACGCTATTAGGAGGAATGTTTGGAACTAGTTTGTTTTTATACCAACTTATAAATAAGTCAGTGGTAGTGTCTTCATGGTAATCCAGAGAAGAAACTTTAGTATTTTTCGCAGACAAAGTCCATTTGGAATCCAACCATCTTTAGAGCCATCATACAAAATAGTTATTCTTTTACCTCTTTTTGATGGCGCGTTTGTTTTACACTTATCAGTTGAGTCAACCCAACCCTTTTTCGGGGTATCATAAGTGTCGAATCAGGTTTCATCCAAGTAAATAATTGGACATTGCTGTTCTCTGTAAAATCCTAATTTTTTCTAGATATTGCACTCGCCATTTCCGAATTCTAAAAGATTCCATTAAAACTGGCAACTCGAGAAAATGTCAGCATCGCTTCTTTTTTATTATTATTCACAATTTTCCATACAGTTGATGTTGGAATTTTCGTCAATGTGGCCGTTTCTTCTTGCTTGCTTGCACCACGTTCAATGAGAGTCAAATAAACATTGTTTATAACTTCCTTAGTCTCAATAGAATAGTGTTTTCTACATTTGGGTGGGAGCATCTCCTGAGATACACTAGACTCGCACATATTTTGCATAATTCGCACACGATTCAACACACGCTGTATTACACACGAAATAAGAATGATTACTAATAAACTTACACTAAGTAGTATATCAAACCAAAGAATATTAAACACAGGTAGGTATAAAATTATTTTCTATTACGGACCACAATTTTACCTGAAATTAAATTCCGAAACTTCAGGTAATAATCTTGTTGCATTGTATGTTAATGACCACCCTTGGATAATCCCTTTCAAAAGCAATTGGTCACTTTCTTATATCCATGAACAGACCATAACAGTAACTTCTTTTCTCAATATTAAGAGGTAAGTAATAAATTTTCTCGAATATCGCAAAAATGAGAGAATTTTCTTAAAACTTGTTGTACGGATACATAAACATAATTCGTTACGATTAAATTTATACAGTGAAATCAGAATAGCGAAGATGTTTAATTGTATGTATATATCGAACGCTAACTTACATACAGGGTGTTTCAAAAACATACGCCAACGCTCGGCTAAAGATTCGTAATCCAAAAAAAGGAAAAAAAAATTATATGAATGTTTTCAAGATACTGGATGTTAAATAAATATAAAAATGTTAACCCAACTTAGGGAATAGCATTTCCAGATGAGATGAGAACAGATGTTTTAAAGTATTCAACGCCACATATATTGAAAACTAATCATTTCCGAAACTACGTTAATATAAACATTTTTACCTTTTTTGGGTGACTAGCCGAGCCCGGAATTAGCGCGTGTTTTTTGAAACTCCTTTCATGTCAGAAATCTCTCGCCATTTCTATAACTAGCTTTTAACTTTTATAACTTTTATAATATAGCTAATCGTGAACTCCCTGAAATGCGTGTTACAAAAAAATTAAAACAAAATATAACATATTAATAGTTCGTAGTGCTTCCTCTGAATTTTCCTAAATTATTTAAATGTACATAAAATTGGCAACGCGGTTTAAAATATTGTCCGACGGCACGCGCTTCAAATCTGACAGCTGCGCTTTCGAACGACCGTTAGGACGTTCCGGAACGGAGAAAGAGGCACCCCTGCGACGACAGGGTAGTTTTTCACCCCGCTACCCTCGCCACACCTGGCTGCCTGATCGCTGTTACCCTCAGCCACCACACGTTGACATGTGCAGATATGCGAATGTCGGACGTCACACATGGATATTATTCGTGACTTACAGGATGTACCCGAAAAAGCATTTAAGGAACATAGTTTTTAAACGACCAGGGCCATTTTCTAAATTTTTCATTGGAAAAATACTTACGCTACCTTGATTACTAGAATATTGGCCATTTTGACAAGGAAAGCGACAATTGTTTTTTATCGGTTTTTCTTAACGGGTTTCCCGGAGAAAAATATATTTTGTACAGATGAAACCAGACTGGTCTGGTATTATCTGGAGTACAGGAATGTTTTTTATATTTACTTTCATTTTGTAGAGATTGTTAATTATGTTTTCTCCGAAAATGTTTGATGTATATGGTTGCATATAACATATATCAGAGAATATGGTGAGTTCATAGATAGATATTTTTTGCATTGCCGCAAAAAGCTCTAAATTTTACTGATGTACTTTCAACGTTACAAACGTTTAATATACAAATAATTTTAAAGGAACCAACATACCGGCCTAAAAAAATGATTTCTTACGAATTACTTAGTGACATAATAAAAATGATTAGCTTTACTTTACATTATTTTACAAATTTCATAAACGCCATTTTAGGCACTAGTTTGATTTGGCACAAGCGGAGCTAGTGCTTAGGTATAAGCGGGTGACTATCAAAATATTTCATTCTGTACTTTTCCTACAACGATTAGATTTCGGGTACATTTTTATATATCTAAACCTCCAGGCTAAGGTTGCCCGCAAAATCCCTACGCGCAACGTTGCACTCGAAGATGGTACGATTGTGTCATTTCATTACATAGGTATGGGTTACTAATAAGCCTCTAGGTACTGTGCTGCTAATTTGAGTTGGTAATTTTATGGAAATTCGCGTAAAATTCACGTAACGAACACTTCAAGGAGCTGTTCACGGCGGTATTAACGCCTTCGTTAATTTAAGTGTTTAGAATGCAATCATAATATGTCATCATCTATTATCCAAGTAAAATTTCTTGAAATTAAAGTTATTCAAGGGGTATATGGAACGCAAAAACAGTTTTCAACCGCATACAATAAAAAATGCAAGGTTCTGTTTGTAAGCAGGAATTTCTACTAACTTGCACAAACTTAGTTTCAGCATTTCGTTCCAACCACCCACATTACAGATGCGTTAATCACGATGAAGATGTAAAACTTAATTTTATTTGTTTTTATTTTTATATTATTAAGTTAGTAAGCCAAAAGTTTAATTACCTTTACCTATAAGTATGAGCATCTGAATTGCCAATTCTAATTTCATTCATATTAGCATCTGTTATCCATTCAAACTAATACATGCTCATTTTCCACACCTTTCAATAAAACTTCCTCAGGTTCTATTAAAAAACTGGTCTTCTAAAGCTCTATTATGTAGTACTAATATGAAATTTATGTTTTAGTTTTAATTTCAGTTTGTATTTAGTTGTACGCTAAAACAATGCTCCAATGCGTTAGAAAAAAACCTATAATAACATCTTTAAGTGTGAGATTATATCGCTTGCTTGCATCTGAAAATTTGTTTTATTAAGTACAAAATTGTTTATAGATTACAGAATTTACTTGAACAGAGTAATAACCCTGTCCATTGAAGTAAGAAGCCGATAAATCCTTCTCTGACTCAGTTTTTATGTGGCAAGCCATCGATAAAATTTGAAACTTT